GAATAGAATAGAATAGAATAGAATAGAATAGAATAGAATAGAATAGAATAGAATAGAATAGAATAGAATAGAATAGAATAGAATTCTTTCTTGGACAACTGTGATTAGACGCACAAGGAATTTGTTTCCAGTGTGTAAGCTATCAATGTACATACAACAAAAGTGATAAGCAACAAATATTACTTGAGTCTTAATTAAGTTAAGAAAATCCTGTCTCAATCTCCAACTTAAAAAAAAAAATCCTCCCTTCTTATTGCCCTATTTTTAATATCTTTTATTGATGCCCTTGCCATGAACATTATAACAGCACAATAATTATAACTCTTGCCTTATAAATGGAAGTTGCTTGTGTGACCCTTCAGAAATATCATTTTCATCAGGTTTATATCCCCTTTCCCTGAACTTTCTATTTTATCTGTGCTTGGAAGAAAGATGGGGAGGCAGAAAAGCCCATTTCCCCCCTTCATCCGTCACCTGAGGTAAAAAGATTTCACCTTCAATTCTCAAATAATGTATGAGCTTTTGGGGAACTGGAGGTGAAACTCTTTGGTGACAGGAAAAATGATAAAATGGTATAGTAAGTCATTTAATTTTTTTTTAAAAAAATAAAGAAATAAAATATTAAGGAAATCTAGTAATTAAAAAAGTTTCTGGCAAGTTTCATAACAAAACGTTTCTTCCACAAGACTTGATTTATAGTGATTATTCTATTAAGCCACATATGGAATAAGTCTAGAAAGAATGACAGGCTGTAATATACACTGATTCATCATAAGAATGACAGCAAAAATATTACAACACTCATTTACACACACACACACAAACAGACAGACACACACACAAACACACACACACACACAGAGAGAGAGAGAGTTTGGCAAAAGATATTGATTATCCTGAAAGAACAGAACTTATTGACTAGTAAATATAATCAGTACTATTTTTCTGTTTATGATTTATTTACTCTTGGAAAGAAGAGAAAGATATATGCATTGAAACTCATACATTTACAGAAGTGTTAATTATTTCTGGAAAAAAAATTAGGAATGTTCAGCCTAACAATTTGTTGAATGTTGGGTACATTCAAATCAAATTTTGTTTATGAAAGCTTCTATAGCCTGGAAAATAATATAATATCAAAATGTAGACATGTATAGGCTGCCATTCCTTAATATATTTGTCATCTATGACCATTTCATATCAGAAAAACAGCTGTACCACGGTTATTAATTTAACTATTATTTTCAAAATAATTTAAAAAGCATTACTTAATCAAATCATTTGTTGTGATCGATAGCCAGACAAAAAATATCTAAAAGCATTTCCTGAGTACTTTAGCAAACTACAATGTAATGTATACATCAATGCCACATAAATTAATGGGTTTCCCCCCCCCCCACACCTTTAATTTTTGCCTGCTTCATGTGCCAGAAACAATTGGATGAATGAAATGAAAGCATGTGACCACCTACCCACACACCTTGGCAGAGGTGCACTCCATACACGGCGGCCACCGCCGAGACAGGTCAACTTGCTCGCACCTTCCAAACGATATCCAGGGAAACAAGAAAACGTCAAGGAATCTCCCACTTCAAAATGGAAGCCTATGCGCCGACTGAAGGCAGGAACTCCAGGGTCATCGCAAGGCTCCAGGTCATATTCTTCCAACAAGAAATCAAAAAAACAAAGATGAAGCCAAACATTCTCAGAATAAAAATATCTTGCTTTTCCCCTCCCTACTTTCCTATTTATAAATAACAATATAAAATAGAATCTCCACAAGTAGCAACAGCTGATTGACCTTGTCTAGGTCGGGAATGTTAAGCTGAGTTCAACCTCCTTAGTACTTGAATTATAAATCAGTGTGAATTAATTTGCAAGAGCCAAGGTGGCGCAGTGGTTAAATGCAGCACTGCAGGCTACTGCTAGATCAGCAGTTCAGCGGTTCAAATCTCACCGGCTCAGGGTNGCCCACCCAGTCACATGACTGCCAAGCCACTCCCACCCGGTCACTTGGCTGGCAAGCCACTCCCACAAAGCAGGCTACACCTACAGAAGAGGTTCTAAAAAAAATTGAAACCCACCACTGCTTGGTCCCACCTAGTGGGACCAAGAAAAAGGGCAATCTCTATGGCGGCTCCCTCCCTATGAAATATCAATCCCCTGTAAATAAGACTGGCCCCACCAGTTTTACAGAAGGCCTTAAAGGCCATTCTGTCAGCAGGCCCAGGGACTTCAGATTGACACAGAACTGATCATGTGGCTGGTTTGATCTTGTTTGTTGTTGCCCAATGGGATAAGGGGTTTACAGGTTTTTGGATTTTTTATTTTGTAAACCATCCAGAATCACTCCATGTGAATGGGCTACCAATGTAAATTTGTTTAATAAATAAATAATAACTCTCTTTCACTGATAAATTCCAAAGATCCTTTGTAGGCAGAAAACATTAAAATAAGGACTGATAAAAACTACAATACATATCTGGCATATTGATAATTAAAAGATTGAAATGGTTTGTACAAGAATTATTTTATTACTCTTTCATTTCATCATATATGTTTAGATAAGTGATTATCAGTTCACACTTAATTCCAGTAATTTTATTAACCCTAAAAACATGACAGAAAAAAGCAACATGCATTAATATCATATTTGGATATAATTAATCTTAAGAAATATATTCTGACATATTACACTTTTTCATTTTAGCAATTAATTAATATGATTAATTAATAAAATTACTTCTTGCAAAAAAAAACTCTTTATAATATATCTATTATACATCTATTATAAATACAAAAGAGCTATTTTTGAATTAAAGAGCTGGTTCACATTAAAAAAAGATTTGCCTTTTTTTTTGAAGAGTTTAAAAAGTAATGTAACAAATTAAAAACATCTGAAACTACTCAATTAGGGACTTATTTTTTAACCCTGAAAAACATGTTAATACTGTATACAAGTTAAAATTATTATTTAGAAAATAATTTTATTAAATAAAATGTTAAGATGAAAGCATTTGAAATATTAGAAAAATAACAAAGAAATAAGAATGGTAAATTAGCAAAGAGGAGAAAGAAAGAAAACATTAGAAAGAGTCAGCTTCTAAATTTTTAGATAGCAGATTTAAATGGATTTATAGCAATAGCAATAGCAGTTAGACTTATATATCGCTTCATAGGGCTTTCAGCCCTCTCTAAGCGGTTTACNGGGTCCACTGGTGGAACCTCTTCTAACCGGTTCGGTAGATTTGATGAACCGGTTCTACCGAATAGGTGCGAACTGGTAGGAACCCACCTCTGCAGTCCACCCTGCATTAAACCCTAAATGTTTTGGGGTCAGGAAGCATGCAAAATCACTTTCCCCCCCACCACTCTTTCATTGCAACCTTCTCATGAAGAAGGCCTATGGCTGATTGTTATATACGACTTCCCACTAGCTTCTTCTACATTGATAGCATAGGCTATGAAATGCAGATGTTTCCTGCTCTGAATAATTTTTCTCAAATAATAAAACCTTTTTATTCTGGCAGAATGTTGTTGTCTGTTAAGTGCCTAATATTTAAGCAAGGCAGTATTTCTATTTTTGCTTCTGTTTCTTTCAAATATTTTTTTTATTTTTTTTTATCACCCTCTGACCTTAAACTTAAAGGAATGTGGCTTACGCATATGTATAAAAGAGTGAAATGAAAATCTTTATATGAATAGACTGAGTAAGTTGAAGGAACATTACGATGTAACAAGATATTTCATATTGATTTTCAAAGTAACTGGTAATCAAAGTAGCAACAACTGTCGTTTTATGCATAACTTTCTGAAATTGTTTTTGTAATATCTTGAAAAGAGCAATGAACTTATTTCAATGCAAAAGACTGACAAATTTACAACAACTTCAAAAGGGCTTTGAATTTGTCTCAGTGAAGACACTGATACTACAGAAACGAAACAGTTTTCTTTGATAAGGAACATGTTTTGCTCAGTAAGACATTTCATGTTTCCTTGCGATCTGAACTAACATTGGCAACAGTCAGAAAACAGTTGAAAAAGCATTTGACTCAGGCAAGGGAAAACAGTATCTGCTCTACTTTAGTCTTACAAACCAGGGAATGTCCCATGAAACAGTTTTGAGAGGAAGCTTCTCTTAAGATTTTGTCAAAGCCAACTAACCCTTTGAAGATATATTCCAGTGGTGTCTTATATTACTAAGCCTGAACATTGAAAAAAGTTGAAAAAGAAACCCTGAGTCCTAGACATTTTGTTATGATTCTAACATGACAATTGGTGATAAGGTTAAGCCACTTGGCTACAAACCAGGAGAGGGGAGTTCTAATCCTGCCTTATGCACAAAATAATCTGCATGAATTTGGGTAAGTCAAATTCTCGTAGCCTCACATACCAGGTGTTTGTTTGTGTATGTGTGTGTGTNCCTTTTGGAAGAGTTAACATGATCCAGACCTCCAGGAAATATGATTCTATACAATGGAGGCACTACAGAGAAACAGATTAAAAGCTTGATTTTAAGCATGCATTGTTTCTATATACAAGCAAAATCAACAGTTGATTTGAAGTAATGATGTTTATTAAATTCCTTTTATGTCTGGACATAAATTCCAATGTTTACAACAAGATATATTTCTGTTCGAAGAAACAATCTTATTTTCTGCAAATCTGGTTTAATTCGGAGCAAATTTAGGAAACTGGAAAATAAGGTTTCTACACTGTACAAGAAGTTAATAAAGAAAATTATTTATTTATTCATTTGTAATTTATTTGGAATTATTTTTACAAATATCTCAAGGCAGAAAATGTGACCAATATACCTTCTTCCCATTTTCCCCACAACAATAAGCCTGTGAGGTGATGAGGCTAAGAGAGAATGGCTGGCCCAAGGTCACCCAGCTGGCTTTCATGGCTAAGGCACAACTTGAACTCACACCCTCCCACTTTTTAGTCTGGCGCTTGAACCACTAGATGAAACTGGGTCTCAGTATCATAATTGGACTTTGATTGGACTTCATCCCCATTATAATCAAGTGTATGTTGTGTCTCTTTTAATTTGTTTCTGTCTTGTATTTTAAACTCTTTTTAATATTTTTAAACTGTTTTATGTAAGGCGCCCAGAGTCCTCCGGGATTGGGCGGCATACAAATCTATTAAAATTACAAATTACAAAATTACAAATAATTATTATACAACTTCAATTCCGAGCATGAGAAGGACCTAACTAATTATACAACCGGTTCCAGTTCCTCCCCCCCCCATCCGCACCATGCTTGCCCCGCCCGCTGCTCACTGATTGGCTGGTTCACCAATCACCCCGCCCACCTCTAAGAGTCCTATCTACACCTTAAAGTCTTAAAGCTGTCAGGTTTGAACATCCCTGTTTTTTTTTCCTAAAGGGTAAGGAGAGACCGCCTGCTGCCAATTACCTCCCATAGACCCGTCAGATCACACAGGGTCGGCCTCCTCCGGGTTCCGTCNACACACACACACACACACACACACACAGACACACACAGTATCTGATACTAAAAATTTCTTCAAAAACATTAATCAATTAGTTGTTTAAACCATCTTAGATACAAAGCAGAGTGAAGATAGTGATAATGAAGTATTTTTGTATGTGTATATGTAAGTGTGGGTGTATGTATGTCTAAAAAGAGATATCACTATAAAAAGAATCTCCAGTGAAGTAAATACATATTCACTGAGCTGAGAACATTTTAAAAAGAAAAAAATAACAAAGAACCAGATTAAGCAGTATATTAGTCAACATGTAACACCTAATGCCGCTTTATATTTGCTATTTAATCATAATATGCATAAATAATTGACAAAGAAACTATTTATACATCTTTACCTGAAAAGGTTATATTAAAGCCTTCATAGGAGATGGAAAAGTCAGAGATGAATCGAAGTTGTGCAGTGAAGTTTCCAAAGAGCCCAGCTTTAATGGCTGGAGGTAAAACAGATCCTGTTAATCTTGCCACAGGTTCCGTAAAGCCTCCATCTTCCGTGATGAGCAAATAGTCATGGGAGCTCTCCAGGTGAAAAGTGTGGAAGATCAGTTGAACACCTGGAAGGACGAGGAAATAAGGTTTCACTTTTGGGATTCGGGATAACTTGAATATGGCAAACCATTTTGCAAACTCTTGAGCTGAATCACTGATAACTCTAGAAAGCCAAGAGGTTAGCATTGATCTTAGTTCCACTATGAGAATCCCAGCAAGTGAAATGCCATTATACTGTTTTCAGTCCTAAACCTGCCATTGCCTCTCCTTTCCTCCAAAATAAGTCTTTTCAGTCAGGGAAGGGAATGCCGGTAGGCACATTATCATGGTGGATGCTCACAGAGCCATGTCGTACAGCCAAATCACATCTCAAATCCCATGCAGCTGTGGTCTCTCCACTCCAGGCCTGCTATAATTCTACAGTGAGTGAGATCAGTTGCTACTGCAATTAAGAGAGCAGATACTGCCAAAGGTTTTCGGTCTCAACTGGTCTTTTATTCCAAAATTGATTTTACTCATGGGGAGATGTTTCTGTTCATAATAGAAACCCACTGTTACTATTGCATGTCTATTATATCACAGAATATTCACTGGTAATACATAGTATTCAGAACATATCATATTGCGGCAGTAAAGAAAATTAAAAATATATATATTCACCAATCTCTACTCTAACCCTAAGCATATTTATTGTCATAACCATTTTATACTAGAGTTATACAATTCTCAAAACCAATATATTTTCTATGTTTATGTATATCGGTCATAAGAAAAAAAAATGTGGACAAGATTCCTGTTTTCAAAAACTATTGGCCTATGACAAAAGCATTTTTTTTATTTATCTAATCTCCATTTTCATTACAGTAGTAATGAAGCCAAAACATGCTTTTGTGGAATCCGAATCACAAATTTAAGCTACATTTTGACACAAGTAAACTATACATGAATATATAAAAGTTTTCTGTCTTGGTGGGATAATTGATAATATTTTAAAGTCACGAATCCGAAATGAATGAATCTGAAATCTCTATTAATGATTAGTGACTTGTTTTCTTTGAGAGTTTCATTTTATCTAAGATCTGTCCTGCAGATATCTGTATTTTAATAAGGATAAAATTGAATTATTTCTTAGATTCATATCTTGTATATCCTGCAGAGATTGCAAGGCAACGTACATTTCGTCTTCCATTTTGTCTTCACAACAATTCTATAAGTAAGTGGAGTGGCAAAGAATAATGGCCCCAAAATCATTGACTGAGATTCTGTGGCTAAGTGAGGAAGGACCTGAATATGTCTCCCAGTTATTTCTTTAACACCCAACACTTCACTAAACTGACTCACAAGTAGCCTATATGGAAATGTTGCTTCTGTAAGACATTTAACAGACTTTTAGCATAGTTCAGTGGTTCCCAAACTTGGCAACTTTAAGACTTGTGGAGCAGAGCTGGCTGGAGAATTCTGGGACTTGAAGTCCACAAGCCTTAAAGTTGCCAAGTTTCGGAACCACTGGCATAGTTACATCCTAAGGCAGTAAGCCTATTGACATGCGTGCAAATCACCCCGTGATCTTGATTCCACAATTTGAATCAAAAAACATACTGAAACAAAATGAATCAAAGAATATGTGTGAAGGCATTACAGTGCTTGGCAATCACCAAATTATTATTATGATTTTGCTTATTTTTCTGGCTTCTGATTTTGAGATTAGACCTCTTCCTAAAAATGATAAAAAGCAGAATAAAGCCAACAGGACTGGCTATCTTCAACAGCCCTAAAGTAAGTTAAAATGATTGCGCTTTAATCTCTTTCAAATAGTTTAAGAAACCATGGGTGAGTTTGCATTTTTGATTAAGGAATTCTCTTTGTGGAACGCCATTGCACTATATTCTTACCTTTGCCATGAGAAACTTCAATTGTCCATGTACAGTTTAAAGAATTGGGATAAAAATCAGGAAAACCGGGCGACAGAAGAGTTCCACTCCTTCCATAAATATAGCCACCGCACAGAGCTAATTCAAAAGATAATAATTAACAATTTAAAATTAAGAGGGATGAGTCTTTATTTGGGGGAAGACACATTATGAACAGGTGCTAATCAATAGTGCAAAATTTGCCAGGAAGGAAGGAAGGAAGGAAGGAAGGAAGGAAGGAANATATGCTGACTCTGTAAACCGCTTAGAGAAGGCTGAAAACCCTATGAAGCGGTATATAAGTCTAACTGCTATTGCTATTGCTATAATATTACTCTTATGAAAGGCTACCAAAGTTGGAACATCCACCTCTCAGAATATGCAGAATATCTCCGATGTTCCACCAGCAAGGATATTCTAATAGTTTTTATTTGTAGTATGCAAATTTTAGGATCTGACTCCGTGGTCATCTTGATTGCTTGATTCTCTTTTCAGGTGCCAGTGGGCAGTCCCGTGATCTGTCATGATCCAGTTACTTGGGAATGGGAGGTGATGGGCTTTGTAAGCCAGAGTTTGCACAATTGCACAATCCCTATCCTGGCTTCTCAGCTTTTATCCCATATGAAGTGGCTGAAGCAAGTGGGAGCCTTGGAGAATCCCCTCCAAGATAAATTACCTTCAGCAGCTGGACAGCAGCCGCCGGTAACGTTACTGGGGCCAACCACAGTTCAAACATCATCGCCAACTCTCCAAGTGCCTGTAATACTTCCAGCTGCAAAACAAATATTTAAAAAGCCATCATCAGAAGCAGCCATAACAGGCTCACCGCCTCCAGTGCAAGCAATCACAACAGCCACCACTAAATTGTCATCAACCAAACTGCCATCAATGGAAGCAGCTGTGCCAGCCATTCCTGAATCTCCACCAACCGAATCTCCAACACTGGAATCAGTCATCATACTTGAAGAAAGCGAGTCACCGCCAGTGGAAACAACTACAGCCACTGTTATTGAATTGTCATCAACCAATCTGACGTTACGGGAAGCAACTGGGGAAGCCACCTCTACATCTCAATTGACCGAACCTCCAGACCGGGAAACAATCACCGTAATTGAAACAATTAACCTACCATCAATGGAAACAGCTACAGCCACTGCTACTGAATTGCCATCAACCAGTCTGCCATTAGAAGCAACTACCACTGCATCTCTACTGACCACTCCTCCAACGCTGGGAACCATCGCACTAATTGAAGCAACTAAACTACAATCAATGGAAACAACCACAACCACCACCACTAAATTGCCATCAACCAGTCTGGCATTAGAAGCAACTACCACTGCATCTCCACTGACCACTCCTCCAACGCTGGGAACCATCGCACTAACTGAAGCAACTAAACTACAATCAATGGAAACAACCACAACCACCATCACTAAATTGCCATCAACCAGTCTGCCATCACTCAGAGCAAATACAATAGCCACCACTGCATCACCTCCCAATCCTCCAGAACTGGGAACAATCACAACAACTGAAGCACCGCCAGTAGAAAAAAACATGACAACGATGCTCTCATTAACAAGCCAAACTGCAAAGCAACGTGGTGTAGCGTCTTCAACGACTAAGAATTCTATTTCGCATTCTTCAAAAGCAGAAAATCCTGCCCAGGAGACCAATAATGTAAATCTTACCACAGTCCATAAATCATCACCTACAACATCTGCGTCCATCTCCTCAGCCACAAATCCACAGCATGGGGCATCAACAAGTTCTGGACATCTGCCACAGAAAACACCTTCCGTCCCAGGACAGCCTACTACCCCTGAGATGGCATCAACCAAGTTCTCACCTACTACAGAGCAATCATCTGTAACTTCCATGACATCATCTCAGTTGTCATCTGTTGTCTCCCCCGTGGACAAAAGGAGCTCTGAAACAATCAGAACATCAAAATCCTTTTCTCAAACCCCAAAGCAGCAGAATGTAAAACTTGACCTGTCACCCAAGGCAACATCTTCAATCACCAGTAAGCCGTCTGCCAGGGCCACACAAACTTTGGTAGCATCCAAAACAAGACAATCACCCCAAATTTTATTAATTAACAGCCATCACCATATAGTAATAACACCATCTAGCAACCCGAGGCGGTCTAAGCCTTTGTCATCTCCGGGCACAAGATAGGGCTCTTCTTCCACAGTTCTACTAACCACACTTGACAATTCTGTCTGCTGGTTTTATGCCATAGGAGAAACCAGGGAAGAAGGCCTTTCTCTTGGCCCTGCTCTGGCACGCCTTCCCAACTCAATAAAGTAATTCCCATCTCGCAAAATGCTTCGAGCAGATAACACGAATGCCCAGATACAAATGGCACATATCAGCAGCTCCCGTGCCTATAAGCAAGATGGCAATTTGCATGGATCACAAAATTGATGAATAATGTGGCCAAAAACTTCTATATTCCTTTTCCTCTCAAAATCTGGGGCTTGCCTTTTTCCTGACTCCAACCTGCCAGCTCTTCGGAGTAGAATAAGGTTATAGTAAATTGACTCCTTCCAGATCATTGACAGAGAATCTGAAGTCTGAAGATTGCTTGATTTTTCCCCCCCCTAATACGTTGTTTTTTCCCCTTCGATATGTGGGCTGAAGCCTCATTTTCTTTAATTTCTTATAATTTTATTTCTTTTCCAAAATTATTTAAAATGCTTAAGCCTTACCTGCTGCATTAAAAAGTAATTCTTGTTCAATTGTACATGCCTCATTACTATTTCAGCAAACAATGACTATTTTCGTGTCTGATTCCAAAGGAATTCAGTCACTTACCTGGGGATAATGCAAAAATCCTTTTCCAATTTGTTGCACAGTTCTGCTGCTTTCAATAAGTTAATTATTAACAATTTTTAATCTTGCCATTTTTCAGCTGCACTAAAAAAAAAGCAACAGAGAGAACACCTCATAGTTTAAAAAAACAATTTCAACGATTAATAGTTATAGAAAAGCTGCCCTTCCCTGCACACATGAAAAATATGTAGAAGCAGCTATTTATTTTCTCACCGTTTAAACACTCAGTGTTTAAACAGTGTTTAATTATCTGAAAATAATAAAATTATGGTATTTCCTTGACTGGCAGATTTGGCCTTGTACAATTGGCTACCTATTGATATGAACCAATTCCCCAAAAGACTCTGAGCAGCTTACGATCACCTCCCATAGACCGATTAGATCACACAGGTTAGGTCTCCTCCGGATTCCATCTGCCAGCCAATGTCGGCTGGCGACTCCCCGGGGGAGAGCCTTCTCTGT